CGGGGGGCAGGGCGCCGGCGCCGGCGCACGCGGGGCGTAGGACGAGGAGAGGGAGAGAGTGTGGGCGTGAGCGCTCGAGTGTGCGGCGCGCTGTAGCTGGCGCTCCAAGTACACCGCGCGGATAAGTGTTTTTGACCGCGCGCCCAACCCGATATCGCGCGCGCGCCGTTTTTGCGCGCCCGCTGGAGCGAGCCGCCGCGTTGCGCGCGCGCTAAAAAGGCCTATTTTGCGGCGCGGCGCTAGTTTAGCGCGGCTGTTGGAGATGCTCTTAGTTGATAAAATTAACTCAAGTTTAGAACTTGAGATTGGGATATATAACAAAGCACCCAAACCGTCCAATGGCAAGATGGTCAGCCTGTTGGAACTAGAGGTTGACCGATGGCATTAGGTAAATATAAGCTACGGTACCAAAAGTGTCCATAGAAAATGGATTTTTAAGGACAGTTGAAACTCTTAAGCTTATCCAGATGAGAGAATGCAGAGTTTGGAGAACATGGGCAAGTTGCCACTGTGCTCAGGGATCATGAGGCAAGCCTGCCTGTCCGTCGTAGCTCCTCTCTGTTCAGCCATATGCCTGAAAGAGACTCCAGGGCAGGGATCCATCCATGCATACAGCCAAAGGCCGGCAGTGCCAAATTGGCAATAGAATCTAATCGTCTACGCACAACGTACACATGTGCAATTTTGCTCTTATCTGCGACTCCAACTCCTCTGATCATTGGTGCACTTCACTTGTTTTCCAGAAGATACCAATGGAATTGTCACTGCCCCTGTGTTGGTTTTTACTGCCCACTTTGAATTAGGAAGAAACAAACGAGAAGGCGGCAATCTCTGCTCACTTCTTGTTCTATTCCTGCTAATCATGCAGACTTTTGTTGTTTTTCTTTCTTCATTTTTCTATTATGCTGTGATACCAAGTGCAATTCGTCTGTAAGAACAAGAAGGCTTTGTTGGCAGCTATCAAGACAAGATTGGCATAGGGCACAAGAGGTTCCGAATGTTGCCCGATATCCATGGTTCAAAGAAATCGAAAGTTAATCATTGTCGAAGTTCTGGCATGAGTTGTTTTGTGCCGTTTCTCTAGTAACTTGGCCTTTTTGTAAGAGTAGGATAGTAAGAGCTACTCCCTTCGTTTAAAATTACTTGTCTTGAAAATAGATGTATCTAGAACTGAAATACATTTAGATACATTCATTCGATGAGTAATTCCGAACACGGAGGGAGTACTATTGAGTAGTAAGAGCTATTCATGCCAACGCATGCATGATGAACCGTTGGTTCAGACTTCAGACCCGATAAATAAACTACAGCGTTGAAGTCAGACTCTGTTCCCCACACTTGCCTTTACAATCATGCAACTGTTTCTTTTTGTTTTGTTGTGTGATCTGCTATCTTGTCATTTTTCAAGAACAAGTTGATGTTTCGAACTGTTTGGACACAGTGGTGCCATCTGTCATGGGGCTGAGTTTTCTGAATATTATCTAGTATCCTATGGTACTATATAAGGGCATCTTCAACTATGACCTGTAAATTTTCTTCCTTATCCGTCGGTGAAAATGCGAACTAACCGTCAATGCGAACTAATCGGATGAAATTCGTTCAAAAATGGCCGGATTTCATAAAAACATGCTGGATTACATATAAACATGACGGATTTTATATATTTACATAAGCGGTGCTCGTCCGGTACTAGAGGTATAACTAATACACCTAATCTATAGCCGCAGGCACCCGCTCCTCTTGTCAGGCAGTGAGCCCAGAAAACTAAAGCTTCGCCTTCTCCAGTTCTACCTCGCCGCTCTCCAGCTACGCCTCCGTAACCTCCGCCTCTGGAGACCCGGGAAGTGAAGTTGTCCACCTCCACGTTGCTGCCATGCGGCTAATCGGCGCCGATGTTGAGCCCATCAAGCTTGGCTTCAATGGGAGAGAAGGAGCGGTGGCCTTCTTGGGAGCCGAGCGGTGTCGGCTTGCGCCTCTTGGAATTGCTCCTCCCGCACCATGTCCATGTAATGGGCATGAGCCTCGTCGATGGTCATGATGCAAACACCGGCGAGGGTGGCCCGAACGAGGAGGGTGGCGCCGGCTCGTCGTCAACCGCGTCCTCCATTGGGACGTCATCGTCCTCTGGTTGCCTGCCGGGCAGCCAGCCGGCAGCAACGGCGGCCATCTCCTTCTAGTCCGTCGCCAGACCGTCCCAGAGAGCTTTGGAGCGTGAGGAAGTCATGGTTGGAGTGTTGCGGAAAGGAGAAAGGATCGGAGGCGGATGAATGCGGCCTTCTCCGGTAAATTCGTCTACCAGGACATCGCGACTTCTCCTGGGCCGGAGCCCCTGACCCAAATCTAGTCTATTAGACTGTCGTTCAAAATTAGGATCTTCCTGAGGCTGTGGATTCGAGGTCGGGTTCCCTCTAGGTGGAGGTACTCAAGCGAAATGGCCCTGGCGATGGGATATGCCCGTTGTGCGCGTCTGAGGAGGACTCTAATCACATTTTCTTCACCTGCGTGTCCGCACAGTTCTTGTGGTCTTACTTTCGCGAGGTGGTTGGCGGACAGTCGTGCAAAACCAACTTTCCCGACCTATTCGTCGAACTCCCCCTCCCTCCCTCCCCCCCCCAAGCCGGATTACTCTGTGAATGTGCGATGGCGATGGCAGTGGTCTCTGCCATTCATCCCTCCTTTTTTCTGTTTTTTCTTTAAGGGCTTGTTGAGTTGTGCCTTCAGCAGAACCCTTTCTGACTTGTGTGTGTGTGTGTGGCATGGACTTGTGTGTACTCTTTGTGGCTCTAGTGGTTTGCTTTATCTATAAAGTGGGGCAAAAGCCTTTTTCGGTTACATCCGGGGCAGCAGTTTATATAGCAACGGTGGACGATAGAGGGACGGATGGGTGGCACCGGAGTAGCTGCCTCGGCACATGTTACTAATGTGGGAGGTAGAACGGATGGACGGCCATCCACTACTAGGGAAAACCTGATACACAGAAATTTAGCAACAGCGCGGGTCAAAAAAGCGCGCTAGTGCTATATAGCAGTAGCGATTTAAGAGAAACCGCGCTACAGATACAAACTTAGCAGTAGCGCTGGTAGTCGCGAAAGCGCTACTATTAATATTCCCATTGGCAGAATGATAGGCTACGCATAGCAGTAGCGGGCTTAGATGAAACGCGCTACCGCTAGGGCATAATTAGCAGCGCGTTTCCAGGGAAGAGCGCTACTACTAACGGAAATAAAATAAGATGAAAAACAAATAGAAAAGTAAATGAAAATGAAAGAAATAGAAAAAGGAGAAAGGAAAAAATAAAATGTAAAGCAAAATAAACGAAAAAGCGAAAAATTGGAGGAAGGCATAGCAGCAGCGTGTGTTTGTAAGAGGCGCTATAGCTAACGTAGCTGCAGCGCGTGTCCTAGACCCCCGCTATAGAAACAGAAAAGGAAATTAAAAAAGGAAGAAATTTACATAGCTATAGCAGCAGCGCGTTTTGCAAAAACCGCTATAGCTATCTTAGCGATAGCGCGTTTTGCGAAACGCGCTACCGCTAAGTTTGACTTAACCAAAAAACCGCTTCCCCCCGACCACTTCTCCCCCAAATCCCTCAACCCACCCCGCGCGCCGCCATCTCCCCGATTCACCATCGCCCCACTTCGCCGCCGACGTTGACGCCACCAGAGCCGTGTGCCGTCGACGACACCGGAGCCGCCCCCAACGCCACGGAGCCGCGCGGCCTCGTCAACGCCACCGGAGCCGCCGTCGACGCCACCTTCCTCGCCGTCACCGGAGACGCCCCTGCCTCCCTCGCCGTCACCGGAGACGCCCCTGCCTCC